CTTGAAATAACCAATGTAAGAACTCATTGAGAGATGAAGGTTGTCTCAGTGTCGTCTTCTTCGCTAACTAGCATGCATTACTTTGAAGTGAATCACATACAAACGATTTCAAACAGGCGATGTTAAAAGCGAATTTTTAAGCAGCTAAATGTCTTCAGAAACCATAGGAGGAACCATTTACAAAGTAGAAGTTAGAATTCATGGGCCAGTGGCTGAATGGTTCAAACCGCCTGGGGTGGGTGTGTACTGTAGATGGGTCCCAGACTAGGATGAGACAGCTGTCCAGTACACCAATTTAGTTGTCGGTAGTTCTCTAACAGATACTAGTCCATGACCAAAGTTGAGCCAAGTCAAATTCTTACAAACAAACTCTTCGAAATTTTAAAATTACCTTATTGTTTAAATAAAGTCTTCCATACATTCTTATGAATATCCTTCCTGAATATTACTATTATTATTATTATTTCCTTTAATTCCTAGAGGAACATAGGGCTGCAGTCGCATGTCTCCATTGTGTTCGGTCCTCTGCCAACGTTTTCACCTGACTTCACGTCTGCCCATATGCTTTCATCTCCTCTTCACATGACCTCCTCCAAGTCACACTTGGACGACTAACTCGCCACTTCCGGTTTGGGTTCCACCCGAGGGTCTGTATGGTGATGCCACTTGACGGTTTCCTCAGAGTATGGCCAGCGAATTCACCTATATTTCTTCCTGCTTATTTGCTGCACAGTTGATTCCTACTGAGTTGGTTCGCTGTTTGCCAGATATCCCTGTTGCTAATCTTTTCTGGCAATCTGATCTTGAGTAGTATTGAGCGAAGGCAGCTAGGTGTTGATGAAGATTCGTAGTTTGTTTGAGGGCTCTTCATGACACGCCAAGTCTCTGATCCGAGTAGTAGCAGCAGTGAATTCACAGTGGAGTAGAGAATCCACATCCTATTTTTCATGCAGAGTGCTGAGTGTTGACCTCCACACAGACTTGAGAGAAATGAAAGCCTGCCTTGCTTTCCCGATCCTCACTTTGATATCCTCATCAGTTCCGTTAATCAAACCTGGCGTTCTTAATTTATTTACAGAAGGCTATCAGTGCACTTTAACTGTTCCTTATTTTCGCCCTTTTTAATCCCACTTATTTGGAGTGGAAATTCTTGAAAAACCTATTTCTCTGTCATACAGTTCCCATAAGCCAATAGGCTTCGTGAAAGAGTAATTTTTATTTTTCTATATAACATATACGCACAGTGATACTATGCATTTATTGGTAATGTTTAGAGTTCGGGTGTAGTCAAATAACTTCTAGATTTTGTCTATGTAGTTCTCAGGAGTTGATTTGTAAGGATTAGATTTGTTTTTTGAGTTTGACCACGGATTGATGTCAGTTAGAGAATCATTGAAAACCAGCATTCGTGTACTGGTTACCTGTTTCATCGTAGTTTGGTAGACATCCGCAGTACACACACCAGGGGGTTCGTGCCCAGGACCTCCCGGTTATAAGAGAAGGTCATATACCACTGGGACCTGATACAATTGCCCATGTTATTTATTGTCCTTCTATAGTACTGGTAATAATATTCTACACATCTCTCCTATTAGTGTCAAGTGTTGACTCTACTGTATGCACGTAAATGGCTTAGTGACAGGACGCTCGAAAACCACACACATGGTTTAAGTTTGACTCCCAATTGACTCACTCTCCAAACTCGTCTAGCTAACTAACCATTAGTAGACCGAGAAGTGAAACACTGTCTAGGTTCAGTGAACATGAAATCAGGTATCCACGTTCATCTTTAACCGAAGAATGTCACTCTTAAGAACTGTAGCCGAATCTCACTCTTTCAAGTCACTGTATATCAGTGTAAACAATGTTTTTTTCTAAGTTGATCATACTTTGTAGGGTCAGTCATCCTACACTTAGCTAAATTGGTGTCTATCGAAAATGCGACTGATTCTAACAAGCAAATCAAGCGTTAAGAAATAATGGAACCGAAGAAATAAAATGTGAAACTGATATGAGCACACCTTGATATCATCATGAACAACACAATTGTTCTCGAAACGTCATCCGTAAATAAACGATTCCATATCACTGTATGTGTGTACGTCGGAGACACAGCACTAGAAAGTTCCCCAACCACGCAGGTGGTTAGGGGTTCAATCTCCGGCCCCAACTCACTCCTTTAACTCGCTAAGTCAGTAATGAGACCGGTAAAGACAGAAGGTTGAGTGAGGATGAGGCTAGCAATCACAACCCTTAAAAATAAACACCACTTCTGCGGAAACTTCAAAGCTTTAGGGAAATAAAAAGAACATAGACCGATCATATTTGATAATCAATTTGTCAGGAAACAAGACATTTGGAGTGGTTTTAGACCCTCATGCAAATAAAAACAGTCGTAATTCACATTATTTTCAGGACGAAACATATAGTAATATTCAAAGATGTTACGAGTGTTGTTTAAAGGGCTCTGGAACTCCAGCTGGCTATTCACAACCTGCCAATTTGACTTTTGTTTCATTTTCAAACATTGCCTGGTACTTGAACAACAATCTGGCAACCCAAGGCTGTACGAGATTGGCTTGTAATCAGGCAATTTTAGTTTTTCCAGTTTTTAAATTTTATTCCTTTACGTTCCAGACGGAGCATAGCACTGAAAGCTAGAGTTTCGAAGTTTCGGTAACAGTGGCTTTTACTTTTATTCGATGGGGTCGCCAGTCTCACCCCCATTCTTCTCTCTTTTTGCCAGACGTACTACAGCTCTAGTGAGGTTTAGGAGGGTGTCGCTCGAAGATAGATCTCCGCGCCACGTTAGTGGGTGGGTGTGCGCTCTACAGCTGAACCACTAATAAACACACCATCAAGAAATAGATGACTCATATGGTCATCAGTGGTTCACATTTCTTTGTGTTTTCTGTCGCATTATATCTTCATAAGAAGCGCCCTTTCGTTTACTGTAAAGATAGACTTATTTAGGGTTGACAGTCGAACGATGGACATTTATTTTCTAACGATCTAAATAAACTGTATTATCCCAGACGGTGAATATATATATATATATTGTGAATACCAGTCAGTCTTACGTGTAGTCAGTCACCTGTAACATGGACAGTTTTCAGCTATCTAATTTAGGGCAGCTAAAATATCTACAGACAAACGCTAACAGGTTTTTGAGGAAGAAGCTTAAGGAAATAGGACTTCAAGTGGATGTATATAAGATAAATATAAGATAGAAGTGATAAGGATAATCAATCAACAAGAAAATCAATAGGCACTAATCAATATCATTAGAAGATATATATTTAATTAGACGCAGAGAGCCGTCTAAGATCGAAAAAGCCAATCAGACATTTTGTTACTCTGAAATCCGTATGGAAATCTACGACACTCAGAAGATTTTTACAGCTAATGCCAAGTCACTCAGCACTTTTATATAGTTCAGAGACTTGGTGCATGCATCACTGCAGGCTTTAATCAACATGTACATCCATCGCCGACAGGTAAGGGCTAACAACCAGAGATTCTGGTGACAAACCAGCTAAGAGCCTGTCGGCTCACAAACATACAGGAAGAAACTAAGTTGGACTAAATACACGCTGAGGAAGCGATTTAGCGACATCACGCGCCAAGTAAGCCATCGAGTGTAACCTGAATAGCAAGCGATACCTTTTGTATCACTTCCGAATTGATGTAAAGGAGATCGTATGAGAAGGAGATGAAAGTCTGTGAGTAGTCGTGCAGGTAGCTAAAAGAAGACTTCAGAAAACATAGTGAGATCCACTATTAGTTAGTTTATTAGATGTATCACACAGTGAGTGAAACAGTATTATTTACTGGATGACAAAGTTTCGAACACAATTTATTGCTTTTCATAATCATATGGATTATAATCACACGACTTTGAAACTTGAGTTTTATAGTTTTCTCTGTTCTCTTTTATTTGTCGTAGGGGTAGTAGAATATTCCACAAAACTAAGTAGTACCAAGGAAAATCTAAGACAGGAAGTGAGACATATAAGGGAAGCTTTGAAACTTAATAATTATCCTGATAAATTAATCAGAAAGTATGTGGAGAAATCTAAAAATAAAATTAGTAAAGACAGTAGAGGTAGTGATAATAATGATAATAGTAATAATAAAAGTAATATTGGTGACAATATGCATGTTAAACGCGCACAGGATAACGATAACACCAACAATAAGGAATCTAAATCATCAGTAGTAATTCCATACAAAGAAGGAACCTCGGAAACCTTAGGTAGAATTCGTAGGAAGGCAGGAATAAAAGTGGCTGGCATTTAAACCAACCACAAACCCAAATAGAAACAAGCTTTGTCAGTTAAAGGATCCTGCCAGTGAAGCCAATAAAACAAAATAATTTATTTTATCTAATACTCTGCCTGCAATGGCTGTCGGGTCAAATAAATAGGTCAGACTTATAGAACAGGGGCAGTAAGACTAGCCAAACATAAAAACCTAGTTGACCTTAATAAGCTAAGAAGTCTAGAGAATAGTTCAGCTACAGCACTCATTACATGCAATTACACACAACCATACAATAGGATAGGGTGAAATAAGGTGACAGTTTTAAAATCATATGTAACAGGGTGGAGGGAGAGATTGATAACAGAAGCTTTGTTTATCGAATCCACTGGAAATACGTGTAATAGGAATGTTTCAACACCTGCCCACTCAGATATCTGGAAAATTCTACTAGCCCCAACGACGACAAATAGGAGAGAACAGAAAAACTATAAAACTCAAGTTTCGAAGTGGCACAGTGATAGAATGCTCTCCAATCACTAATGTGGTTGATGGTTAGATCCCTGGCTGCCAACGCAATCCGTTACCTCACTAAGTCAGTAATTAGGCTGGTAAAAAAAGAGAACGTTGGAGAGCATAAGGCTAGCCAGTCCATACCGTAAAAACCATTACCAGTAGGGAAATATCTACAAATCCAGCAACCCACCCCCCACACACAAACAAACATGAAATAGACTTACCTCCCAAGTATTTTCGCAAATATAAATATCCCTTGACCATCTGATATATCATCCACATAGGAAATAGACATGACGTCTAAGTAATTTTAGACAGGGAATGATTGTATTTTGTTAGTAGAGAAATCGTTTTTTTTTGATTTTCCGTTGCTTTCGAAATGGTTTTTTTATTTGTCCCTTATCGCCCAGATCAATTGTGAGCACAATAATAGCCTTATTTATTTATATATATCTATAGATATATCTAATATGAATGTATCACTCTTTTTGCATAATTATGTACTAAAATGCCTTATTCTTTTGTACTCTACAGGATATATATGGAGGTGTGTGTGTATAGATATGCGTATCTATATCTATATTTGTGTGTGAATGTGTGTGTGAGTGTGTGTGCGGGGTTGTCTGTCACCGTGGTCGCTTCTTTATCTCTTCTTATCGTATAACAATTAAAAACCACTAACTATCGTTTTAGATTAATTACCTTATTCTTTCTAATCTTATATCATAATTAAATAATATGATAATAATAATAAAGAAATTAGAACAATACAACGTTGTTTCATTTCAAGATACACAAACAAAACCAAATTATACTTAAAACTACAATTATCATGTGTTCTTAATTCTGATTGGTCAATATTTTTCACTTTTTTTAAATCGTACGCCACTTTCAATTTATATGTTCAATGTACAATAGAAACTATTGGATGATAAAGTCTTTTTTCAAATAATTGTTGAACAACTTATATATGCGCATACATACATACAGGTTAACAGTGCATAACTCATACACACACATACATAAGTATAAAACACTTTCTCGTTTATTGATTAAATACTGTGCTCTTAATCATAATCATATATAATATTAAAAATATTGTTTAAATGAACAGATGAAAGTAACGTGTGTATTATGTATGACCTTGGGACGAATATATATATACAGTATAAATGGTGTTTTTTTATTGATCCAATGTGAGAAAGATGTTTTTTTTCTTTTTGAATAATTTATACTGCATTCCAGAAATGATACTGATAAAATATGTGTTTTAATTATTTATTATTAACTGGCAACTGGATATTCATTTGTAACTGTTGACAAACATAACTGGAAGATGTACTGGTGTGTGTGTCTGTGTTCTATTCTTGTATATTCTTAGTTTTTAAGTGTTGGTTTGTATGGATTTGGTTGGTTACAGGAGCTGTCATCATGAGCTGACATTGGTTAGAGAACCATTGGAAAACTATGAAGGACTCTTCAGCAGTATGCACCCATACTGAGGGGTTCGGACCCAGAACCTTCTGGATACAAGGCGAGCCACTGAATCCAATCCAATGGCCAATGCATGAATTCTAACTTCTGCCAATTCTTGACATAGTGCGACCCCTGGCGTACTGTTGAAGAGTCCCAAACTAGGCGGACGAAACACCTGTCCAGTACTCTTTCATGGTTTTCCAATGGTTCTCTAACCAATGTCAGCTCATGATGAATGAAATCCTGTAAACATTCTCAGTGTGTTTGTGTCTGTATGAGGTGAATGGTTTCTAGGGAGAAAGCTTTTTGATCAAAGGAATTAATACAGAGAGTAAAGTAACACTAACACCATTCATCTCAGCTATAAATGTTTTCCATTATTTCATAAGTATTGAAAGTTTTATGATGTTTGATTTGAGACGGTAGATGATTTGGACGAATTCATCACAACTTACACAGTTCTCTTTCGGAACAGAAATTTTGCAATTATAATATTTATCATCTGTTTTAAGATTTTGACAACGGATTGACATCAGTTAGTGAACCATTGTAAACCAGTCACAAGGAGTACTGGACAGCTGTTTCATCCTAGTTTGGTAGCCATCGGCGGTGCGCATCCACACGAAAAAGTTCTAACTCAAGACTTTCCGGTTCAAAGGCAAGCTCGTATACCATCCAGCCATTGGATGGATGTCCCACCGACGACACTGATTGGTAGTGGTGCTAAATTATGAATTGGTAGAAGTTATAAATCATGGGTTGGTCATTGTGGAGTCGGGTCTCGGTGGCTGGATTCTAACCCTCTGGTGTGGGTGCGTGCTGCTGAAAATTCCCAGACTAGGGCGCAGGAAACAGCTGTTCATTGCTCCTGTGAAAAAATATATATAATCTGCCAGTTCGGCTCTCTGAACCAAGTCAAATCGGGTGCACTGATGGTGAGCTCTGCACAAAACCAGAGAGGCGATTGTCTAGTGTTTAGATCACTTTTGATTATCTGGCTGGCTGAGTAGTATAAATCTACTCATGGTCAATCAATCAGCAGTGGATAGTTTTGTGATATCAAAGAAGTTATTACTATACTCTTGGGATCATTTCCAAAAAGGTATTGTGAAATACTTAAGAATATATTTTGATGTTACAGTTAGAAACAATCAACAGAAATCGTTGAATCTAAGTTTTGTGCATAATATATTCATCAGTGAGACGTATCTGCAGCCTGAGGGACTGACTGCATTTGCGTGGAAGTTTCAAACTTGATTGAGTTATTACTGCAATCCGAAATGTTATTACTAAAGTTTTCAGACTTACGACTGCTTCCATTGAAAGGAATATAAGTTCAATCCAATAATTTACAAGAGAAACTGTGTGCAGATGTTGTTTAAAATAGTTCGCAAAACACTGTAACACTTTGATACTGAAGAGGTGAGTAGAAAAGTACTTATTGACTTTCTGGAAAAGGAATGAATACCGATAGAGATTCATCGAAAATGTCTAAAAACCATGCCGTAATACTTACAATAAATCATCATCAAAGACCACAAGAAAATGCACTGCACCTTATATAAAGAACATATCTGAAATAATAGCTAGAATACTTTGATTGGACACAAGTAAATAGTGTGATGTGTCTAGTCCTTTTTTTGGTGCAGACTGAATTCTATCAGCCAGTTTTGTAATGTGGCCACCATTCTACTAAGTAGCTGACCTCCCATTATCGCACATTGTTTTGATGATATTAAATGGTTGGAGGCAATCGGCCGCAGGAAGCCTCGCCTGACCTAGCTTTCGTGCTAGCTGGCACTCACCAGTCAGCAGGTCAAGCTTATCTGAAACCTTGAAGGAACTTATATCCCTTCTGTGATTCGAACACGCGTTACACAGTGAGTACTGCGGTCAGAGACGTTACCAATGAGCTATCCAGGCTCGTTATTGTCTTCCTGTGGGACTGTGTCAGATAATATGATTGGACCCTAAATAGTAACTATTGTAATATATCTAGTCTTTTGTTTGGTGTAGACTGAATACTATCAGTTAACTTCTCAGGCCTACAGGAGGTCAATTTCTAGTCCGAATAGCTCAGTGGTAACGTCTGTGACTGCTGGCGAAACTGGGTGACGCGGGTTCTAATCTCGAAAGGGGTAGGAGTTCCTTCAAGGTTGTAGACACGTCTTGTTGACTGGTGACTGCCAACTACCACGAAATTCAGGTCAAGCTGGGCTTCCTGTCGACTGCATCCAACCATCTCATAGCTGCCAGAATACTAAGACTGTTTGATATAGATGCATAGCACAAGCCAGTACAATTATTTCATTCACTTTTATGCAGACCGAAATATCCAACAGAAAAAGCAGAAACGATCAATACCATTTACGAAATAAATTGCTTAAACTGCGATGAACATTACCGCTATCAAAGTGGACGTCCCATCGTGTCACAATCCAAGAGCAAAAGGCAGGATTTATATTCGGTCATGCTGATATATGTAGATAATTACGGACGCGAATCACTACTGACTAACTAATGAAAAAATTGATCACATGACAGGAAAATTCAAATTACAAGTCGATAAATTAATGATCATTACAAAATTGACGACCAATCACAACAATGGTTGATATTAGAAGGATGCAATTACATCATTATTCGCGTGGAGAGTTCAAAAAAAGCTCACTTAATACATGAAAGCTTGTGGTGAAGCGATGTTTTTACTAGAAAAACAATGATAACCTGACAATAACATTAGTCAAACAGCTTTGAGAACACTATTGAATCAAAATCACCTACGTGAGCTGTATATCTTCTCTCTTATTTCAGAATTCGGTGTGTATGTGTGTGTAGAAAGTTGGACGATAAGATGACAGAGATATTATCCCCTTCATTATTTGTCTAGCTTCCTTTGTATTGATTATCTACGAAATATGAATGTTGAGAAGTGTTTCGAAATGGAGCCGTTTGTGTCGTATAAAGGATTCTGGTTAGCACATTTGATAACTTGACCAGTTTTGTGATTTAACTCTTCTGTTAAAGAAAATGTAGTCGTCGTCAGTAGGCTTCAAAACTACTGGCCCGCACTGTTGAAATGGTATGATTATCTACGGGACAATATTAACCGGTCTCTAACTTGATTCTTAAGTATTTGATATATTCAAATCACGGTGATGTACAGGTATTTGTATTCTGAAGTCGCCAATAAATAGGTGTGGAGGTGCTAACGACTCGTCGACTCATTTCCGAATGTTTGTGTCCTGAAAGGATCTGCTTATTCTATGATTCTGTTATTATTATTATTACTTTTATTATTATCATTATTATTATTCATTGGTGGAGTTCCCTGGGGAACACAAAGTCTCATTAACAATTGTCTATTGTACTCGACCCAACGCAATCACTTTTTACTGGTCCTACGACTGTCAAATAGACATCCAACCATCTTGATTCATATCTAATAACTAGTTGTCACCTTTTGAAGTCCTTTTTCTGCTAAGATGTTGATTATTGTGTAATTTCTCTGGTCCTCTAGAAACTACTGGTATATAACTATATCGGACATGCTATAATTCTTGTAGCTCAATCATTAATGGAGGACAAATAAATGTGTACAGCATTTTGAGGGGAATCTGCTCACCAGTCATCTACTTTCGTCGTGGCTTCCTGGTTATTCAGTGTCCTTTAAAATTTCACTGATTAGCCGTAGAATCACAGTTCCTTGAATTGTGTTCGAAAAGAAACACTAGCATACTGTAGACCTTAGCGCCATATATCCTAAATCAAGAGGAGTTAGTGTTATTGGGTGGGTCACTGAATTTCAACCTAGTAGACGAAATTTCAGCACGCTCTTCTTGTAAACTGAATGTACTGGATCCGATCTCTTATGCATTTGGCCATTGTTTCACACTGATGAAGAGTCATAAATTAGGACATAACTTGAGTCCAGTACTCCTGGGTTTTCATAGACTCTGTGAATGGTGTATATCTTTGAAGGGAATCAAAATCTCATTCAAGTCTCAAAGTCTCAACACTCCAGCTAATTTAGGCGGAAGACGGTGAGAAACACAGTGTGTGTGTTATCTGTTTGATTTCATAAGTGAAAACAGAAGACGTTCAGCAAAGAGACTCTTTTTGGCGAATTCATTCACACAGCTGCACAATCGCATTTACATATAATTATTTGTGTCTGTGTGTACATGAGATTTGTTAGGTTTAGATAATTGAATAGGTAATATAAGAATTTCAGGATTTCATCATGGGCTGACA